TGCATTTTTGGCACAAGACGAGACGATGGAGTTGGCGCGTAAAAATGAAACAAAAAAAGCATCCACATCATCATCCTCGTCGTCATCGACATCGGCTACATTTAAAATACCCAAAATTCCAGCCAATACACACAATGAATTTTCTAACAAAGAACCATTAAAACGTTCCAACAGTACGGAAACGCTAACGAAAAAAGATCCCATCAAACGTTCAACAAGCATGGATTGTGGTTTTACCACATTTTCTCAGGAAATTTCCAAACCAGATAATTTACTACTAAAGAAACCTGACCACGTGACGAAACCAATCATACCACCTAATAGGCGCCTGTCAACAACTGCTACCCCAGGATCCCATAATATTTCCGATGCTCCAAACACAACAGCTGCGGCAGCGAGTAAAGAAGCGACTTTACCAAATAGGCGACTCTCAACAACAACCTCGCCCAATGTTACACCCGATACACCCACAGCTGTGTGTAAAGAAGCATTGGCGGCCCGTGCCCTTCGAACAACCAATAAAATTACATTTGCCTCAATGGAAAAAAATATCATTGAATCGGAGAAGAATAAAACTAAACTTAACAACATATCGACACAACGTTGTACTGGTACTGTCCTGACATCAATACTTTCACCATCGAAAAGTGCAGCAAGTAAAAAGAAAACCGTTCGATTTAATGATATACCTACAATACACTATATTGAAAGGATTAGTGGAGCACGAAAAGTGGCCGCCAAGGATATTTTACCACTGACTACGCACAAGGACCGACGCCAATTAATAAGACGTACCTATCCAATTATTGATAACACCGATAAAATTATTTCACAAATTCTTGCATGGAGTGATGAATGGTTGGTGAAACGGAATGCTGCTGTAGAAGCAGCCAGTGATATTGTCTACCCCATGCCAATACAATTCAGTTCATTTGATCATTATAAAAGGTAAGTGAGGCGTGGAAAAACCACACCGTATAATGAATGTTTATTATCTTTTGAAAGTCCATCTCAGGTGAACCATCTGTTGAGTTGAATTGTCGACTTCTCGTTTTAGAAATATGGATACAGTTTAAAACTGTCTCGTCTCCGATTTTTCACAAACAGTATGCGCATATTATTTGTGATATTAACATTTTTTATTTATTTTACAGTATTGTTTTCCCTCTTATGAAACTTGAATTTGTTAGTCTTTTGGAGCGGGAATATAATTAACGATGATTCAAAAAGTACACAGTTTATTGGAATATGTAACGACAAATGCCAATCGTTTGATGCTAGTCACGAAATGTAAATATATTTACCAAAAAGTAAAATGCAAAAATATGACTCAATGAATAAATTCAATTCTTTTCTACATAGTTACCTATCAAAATCGCCAACAGCTGGACAGCAGTAAATATGATTTGGTTATATTGGAATCGAATAAAATGAATACAAATATGTTTGCATATTTGACATCGACGCGTAAAGGGGCTGGTAAGTTGTGGTAAAGCCCTTTTGTGTAATGATGACCAACAAGTATTATCTGTTCCAGGTACCTGTAATACAATGGTTTTTGAAATTGTACCCAAAAAACATAACCAAAGATTTCTTTTGTGGCATACACAAATTGACGATACGACCCGTCATCGATAATGTTCGTGTTGAATTTGGTGCCTTCAATGCTGTCTATCAGCTGGAGGCAACACCATTATTCAAAAAAATCCTCGATCCCCTGGAAATGTTACAGAGTCGCCATCCTCCAAAAAAGAAAGTCATCTATCGTGGTTTTGACCCGTTAAACGATAAACAACGTCAGGTGTTATTGAATACCTATGTTCGGATCATTGATGAGACAACACCTAATGTATCACTGATACAAGGACCGCCGGGTACGGGCAAATCGTGTGTCATCACGAATTTAGCATTGCAAACGTTATATGGTGACGAGGTCAGGTGTATGGATAAGAAAATTTTGATATGTGCCCAAAGTAATGCAGCCGTTGTTGATGTCATCGCTGGCAAATTGTATGATATTAGTATGAGAATGAGACCGGAAATTCGTTTTCGTCTTATACGTTATGGGCTAACGTTTGGTCTATCCGGTAACATTGCAAGCGATTATTGAACATGAACAAATGAAAAAAATGAAGGCAACTAATCCGGATATCCCGATGGAGAATAAGGAAAATTTAAAAAACCAAGTAAGTTTATGTGATGTGGTAGTAGTGTTGATAAAAAAAGGGACATGAAGTGGTAAAAAGGGGGAAAAACTGTGGATGGTTGTTCCTTTTTTTGGATTTTTGTAATATGGCTGTGGCCAAAGTCTCAGCTAATGCTTGTCCACACACCTATAATTGCTTTCACGGCATACGCATGTTTTTGTGCAATCTTCGGAAGGGTGGCAGGGTTATCCTAATACTTCCTTTACCGGAACATCTGTTCAGCATGATAAACCTTTTTTTAAGTTTAAAACTCTTCTTCATTTTCCATCTATAGATTTTACAACTAGAAGCCCAGATAGCTGAGATGTCGAAACGCAATATAAAGGGTACTGTCGAAGAAGATATGCTGCTGGAGAAACAACGTAAGCTACAATTGATGCGAAATATATCGACACAATTTACAAGGCCCGAAGATGAACGGAGCATTGCCACATGGTTTTTAAATAATGCCAATATTGTGTGTGCCACACTTTCCAGTTGTGTTAAACTTGCTCAGTAAGTAAAAATTCTTTGCAGCACTACAACACAAATCGGTATACCTGTCTTTTTTCCAACTTACTTTTAGATATGTAAATTATTTTGATATTTGCATTATCGATGAAGCAACACAGTGCACCGAACCTTGGACATTATTACCCTTGAGATTTGGTGTAAATTCTCTGGTCCTGGTTGGTGACACACAACAATTACCCGCCACTATATTGTCAAAGGTATGATGGGATTATTGGAAAAGATTTTTGATTTTTTTTAACGAAAATAAATTCAATTTTTACTTTTCAGAAAGCGAATGAATTGGGTTTGGGTACCTCAATGTTCACCCGAATACAAAATTGTTTAGACAATATACCAAGCATTGCTAGCGGTGCCAATACTAATGGCTTCATAACGAAAGATCACATAATCTGTGGTCTACAGACCCAGTATCGCATGCATCCGGAAATATGTAAATGGCCCAATCAATATTTCTATCGCAATGAATTGATTAGTGATCGCAAAACTCAGGAATATAAATCACCGCTGATGCCGTTCTCGGTACTGAATTTGGCCTACACGCAAAATTCATCATGTTCGAATGGAAAAATTACCAACAATCTGGAAGCGGAATTTGTTGCGAAACTGTTAAAGGCTCTCGACGGTTTCATACCAAATAAATATAATAGTTATGGTGTAATAACACCATATGCACATCATCGGACAACATTGGAACATTCAATTAGGTATGCCGGAATAATAAGTTTTTTAACAATTTTTTGTAACAATAATGTTTCGAAATTTTGGCAGATCCCTTGGCTTAACAAATATAATGGTGAATACCATTGATTCTTATCAGGGTCTGGAAAAGGATGTCATTGTTATATCGAATGCCCGCACAAATGGAATTGGTTTCCTATCGAATCCTCAAAGACTTAATGTGGCCTTGACGCGTCCTAAAAAATGTCTAATTTTATGTGGAAATTTTAAAAATTTAGAGGTAAGTTGTATTATTTTTCTTAATTTTGTTTTTGAATGAGATTGCAGACAAAGGCATTACGATAATAAAATAATAAAATGTAATATAAGTTATTGAGGCAAACCTCACCTAAAATATGAGATTATTTTTCAAGTTTCTTATATCAAAACGAAATGCATTGTTAACAGTTAGAAGACCTAGAGTAGGCTGTGTTTAAAAAAGGTGAAAGGACCTTTGTTTGACACTTATGTTATCTGACATGATTTTTTATATTTTTTGACCGAAGAAATATTAACAACGGTTACACTTGTCAAAAAATAATTGTTGTCGTTTATTTTTTTATATTTAGGTTGTTCCGGCCTGGCGAAGTCTACTGCAAAGTGCTCGTGAACGTAATCTCTATTATGAAATTTCAACGAATTGTGTTAATGATATACACACAAATGTGATTGATAAAATAAGAATTAAAAAGGATATAAATTCAGCAAATAAAACCAAACCCAATAGCGATACAGTTTAGAACTGTATATACATATACTGTATAAGACTAATATACCTGTATTTTCTATCATATATGCAGTTTAAATGTACATACATACATACTATATATAAAAACAAACTTGAATTTACTATTATTATTTTTTTACATAAGTTTAGTATTACCTTCTTTATATGATTATCATAATTTTTGTTATTGGTAAGAGTTGCATTCAATTTCTATTTTATTTCTTAATTGTGTATTTTTTAATTCATTAAAAACTACATATTGTCATTCTTTTAAAAAAAAAATATTGTTAGTATTATCAATAACAATAATGGTTTAACGATTTGTTTTTTCGTAATGAAAATGTAACATAAAATGTTTTTTTTTATTTAAAAAAATGGAATACTAAAGCATGTTTCGGGGAGGTTGTTTTCACGAGTCTTGGAAATATCATAAAATATATATATTTTTTTTTAATTCAAACCATAAAAAATATTTTTTTTAAATAACATGATGTCCCAAAAAAATACCTTTTTTGGGACGTCATGTTATTTTTTTAAAATATAGATAAAAATTTAATGCGTATATGGAAATATTTAATTTTTTAAATAAGAAGAAATAGTTTTTTTATCTACACTTTTGACACTTGAAAAATATTTTTAAGAATATAAAAAAATATTTTTTGAGTAATAGGAGTCAATTGGTTAGTGTTGATGGAAGGTGTAGTGGTCTACTGGGGGTTCGTAGTGGTGTTCCCCAAGGATCTGTTCTAGGTCCTCTATTGTTTATAATCTACATAAACGACCTGTTTAAAAAATTGGAGAGTTGGTGTGTCCCGTTTGCCTTTGATGATGATTTGCAGTAAGTATTTAAGTGGGATAGTCGTTTTGTTACTGTGTTTCACTCACAAATAGATTTAGTAATGGCGTTGTTGAGTTATTGGATGCGTAGTAATAGCCTTCTCGAAGTTCAGTGATGTTAGTGTTCATGTTAGGTAAGCTGGTGCTATTATTGAGTATGTTGGGGAGTTTGAATGTCTTGGTGTTATTTTGTTATTTAAATATTAACCGGGTAGTGTCAAGAGTTAATTGGTCTTTATGATCTCTTTATGGAACTGATTTATCTTTGCCACTTTTTGTCAAGGAACGGTTAGTAAGGGCTCTTGTCCTCCCTTCGATTTTATATTGTTTTGAGATCTACTCAGGTACGACGCAATGCAACTTGAATTGGTTGCAGCTGTCGTTGAACCGTGCTGTGCGCTACATATATGGACTTAATCGTCTCATATTTCGCCCTATGTGCACAAATTTCTGGACTATTCGTTTCAATCATTTTTAAATTGTCGGTTGTTGCTTTTGTTTTACAACTTAATTGTTTTTTAAAGTCCGCTTTCCTAATAGGAACCTTTAATTTTTCACACTCTACTAGAAACAGTCAGTTGATAATACCGCGAATTGCTTATTTAATGGATGATTCATTCATTGTTAGAGTAGCTCGGCCGTATAATAATTTGCCACTTACATTAAAAAAATATATAGTGTTTCGCACAAAACATATTCTAACAGGCTTCTTCAGCATTTCAAATAGTATTTTTTCGCATTTTTCCTAAATTTTTGGTCTGTTCCAGTACAGCAGTCAGTATTTCTGTGATTGTTTTTTTTTCATTTGTTTATTTTAAGTAAACTCTCGAAGTTTTCATTGTAGTCTTCTCTGCAATTTTTGATTATGAATTTATAGGAAGATAGTTTTGTTTTTTTTTATATTTACAAATATTTTTAACATTATAAAGCTAAAGTTAATTGTGTTTTGGATTTTTTGCAAACATATATTTACATATAGTTTTAATATTATTTATGCTACGTGGAGTAGTTTTATCTTTGAAGGTAAAGTTAATTTTGTACGATGTATATTGTAATTCTGTTCGTTAATGGGCTTGATAGCCTTGGATTACATTTGAAATAAATGAAATAAATATATATATATTTTTTTTTTTTTGAAAAATATTTAAAAAAATATTTTTGAAAAAAAAAACTTTTTGAAAAAATTTACATTTTTAAATAGATTTCCTTGACAAATATATATTTTTTCAATATAAAAAACTTTATTCCTCTTGTAGTCCTATTAAAAATCTATGCTTATGGTTCTTGGTGTCCTTTTAAAATTCACGTTTATGTTTCTTGGTATCGTTAGAAAGGTATTCTTAAAAAATGGCTTACGACTTTGTAATCTTATTTAAATCCATAATTTCTGTCCATAATGTCTTTTAATGTGTAGCTGGAACGTTCATCAATGTATATTAAGTGATATTGTCAATGACACCATATATAAAATGCGGTTATTAAAAGAAATCATGATCCGTTTTTTTATTTTTTTTTTTCTAAAGTTCATAACTTTCCTTCCGAAATAATTTTCTTATTCTAACTCCACTTTCAAAATTTGTTGTTGTTTTTTAATTTCATAATTATTCTTATTGAACTGAATTTAGACAACAATTTTCCAACTTACCTGATTTTCGATTCGACTACGCACATATTTTCGAAACACATGAATCTACATTAACATAGATTTTATTTTGTTTTTTCGTTTTTTCTTCATTATTTCTATAAAATTACACATGAGACATTGAAAGAAACAAATGAAAAAAATATATCGATTTTTTTGCGGGGTACTGGATGTGCAAATACATGCATGTATGGAAAAGGATTTGGATTTGCACATTTTTTTTAAATTTAACAATTCATTTGGTTATTTCCTCCATCTTTTTAACATTTTTCATTTTATTTTTATTTTAAATTCAACCACATATTAGATATTAATATATATTTTTCTTATGTTTTTTTCATCAGTTTTAATTTTCTAATAATTTTTTTGTTTTCTTTTTGGTGTAATTTAAAGATACACGAAATGTGAAAGTAGTTCATTTATCATTTGGTTTTAAATTGAATTATTTATTTTATTTATATAAATTGAATAAAGTTATTACTTTTTCTGTATAGCTTAATTAATAAATTAAACTATATTGCACTTTAAACAAAAAAAAAAATAATAATAATAAGGAAGGAAATACAAAAGGAAAGGGGGCCGGAGTAGATTACGATGTTTGTAATAGGAATTTATTTTCTACACCATTTTCCCGATACATTTAATTGTATATTTCATTAAGGAGGGTTTGACTTATTGGTGTATTTGTTATCGTTATTTGGTGGCATAAAACAATCGTCTTGCCTAAGCAGCAGCGATTTCCAACTAATTGTTAAAACTTAAATATAAAATGATTAAGATTTTTTTCTTAGAACAAAAAATTCTGAATGTTTTTTTTATATAATTTTCGCTTTTATTTAATGGAATATTGAGTTTAGTTTTTTTTAACAACGTAAATGATTTTTTGTTGTTGGATTTAAATAAAAAGAGAAGACTTACTACCAACAGGGAAAAACTAGTTTATTGACTACACCATATATTACATAGTATATTTTTCAATATTGTAGTGCCACAAGTTAACAAGGCGTAAAATAACCCGTATGTTGCTATGTTTCAGGACGTATGATGTTTGTTACCTCACCTCAGAGCAAATTCTCATATTCGATTCTTCATATTCGGCAATATTACCAATGAGCTGTAGAATTCCATGAAGCCATGAAGAACAAAAACTTGATTTCAGATCCAAATACCACAGAGACTCTTACCTATCTCAAAAACTCGAAATTATGACGATTAGAAGATGCTGTATGAACATTTGTCGAGTATTCTCCATCTAATTTGCTACACATCTTTAATTGTGCCAGTCAAACACATTCTAATTAAAGACATTCGGTATATACAGAATTCTGTCGAAGAGCCCAAAACTAAAAATGGGCTCCCCCTGAGATGTAGTATCATCTCAGCATTTACTCTCATCTTTACTTTCGAAATTCGTTTGGTCCTCCACATGGTTATACAATTATTTCATACACGATTGCACTATCATAGATATGTCTTGATGAATGCAGCCACCTCAGTGGGGACATATTTCATTACTAACATCCAAAAAATTACTAACAAAAAAAATCTACAAATCTTCAACGAGAACTGAAGTTGTCTACCTCTAAAATTCAGTTAGATGACATAAATGATAGTCTAACAAAGCAGAATAATTCGATATTCCATATAATTGAGAGTTGTGGGTTTTTCTGTCTTAGAGTGATACAATGGTGAAGGGTTTCTTAATACTTAAATATTTGTATTCGGTATGTCATCTGACAATGATAAATTCCACTACAATTCCCATAACACTCTTGTCGAGACGGTTACCAAACGACGACAATGAAGATGCGTCAGTACATCTGGAATGTAAGAGGCTGGTATCCACACGCAACCTTCCAACCTTTAGCATCTTCTGTTTGTTTCCTTCAATTTGTAATATTTTTTTTTTTTTTAAATTAACGCCCCAATTCTTGAAAAAAGAATGACTAAATAATTTTGTAAAGAGTAGAATTATAAATGTAATCTACTTTTCTTAAAGGACACAGGTGTATAAAGCGATCCGTTGCACCACTCTTCAAACTATCTAAAGTTGAAAACTCTGTAGAAAACATCTAGACAAGGAATTACTTCAATCTTAATTAGATTTATAAGGAATATCACCTTTGGTGTAGATTATAAAAAAAAAATGATTACATAGTCTTCAAATAATAATATTTTATGTGTAACAAATATTCTTACTTAAAAAAAAAGCAATAGATTTTTTTGTTCAGCATTTTCATTTGTTTTTCTTTACATACAACTTATGTAATATTGATCGGTGTTGATTGTAATAATAATCATAATATATGTATAAACAAAAAAACTAAAACAATTATTCATCAGCGTACTTGGTAGTAGTAGTAACGTTATGTTTAAATTAAAGCTTAACTTACATTAGCTACAATCGAATAGAATTATGATTAAACTACTTACTATTGATAATTTAAACATAATTGCATTAGATTGACGCATCAGTCAATCATTGAAAGGGGCGAAGAGAAACAGAGGTGGGGAACAAAGTAAGGAAGAACTAACAATAATAACAAAACTAGTATAAAGCAAATTCTTTGTGTTAAAATAAAGCTAAAGAGGAGAGGACAAAAAATACGCACACGCAAAACAAAAAATATTAAATTAATTTAGAGACATATAAAAAAGAAGAGTTGAGACAAAAACCTATTTTTTTCTTCTTTGTAACATACAGACAAACAGATTTGTATGTTATATTTTAAATGGAGTTTTTTCTCATTGTTTGTATTTGCTTTCATAGATGATAGGCTAACTTAATTTAGAGCATCACCCAGTGTTTCCTTAAGTGATTCAAAGATTTGCAATTGTTGTTCCGGTTTAAGATTGTAAATCTGTGAAAATGTGAAAAAAAAAATTGTTTTTATGTTTAAATTCTACACATTTGGCATTGCATTTCTATCATACCTGTGTTAATAATTTAGCTGGCGATGGTGTTCTAATGAAACTGGAAATGTAAACATTTACAAAAGTGGCCATTAAAAATTGACAATCGAAACGATCCATAATGCCACCATGGCCAGGAATCATATCGCCAAAATCCTAGAGTGGAGAAAAATAAAATGTGTTTAGGCATTAAAATCATTATTTAAATTTCCAATATAATAATAAATAAATTTCAATTTCCAATATTATAATAAATATTCAACAAACCTTAATTTTAAATGCCCTTTTAAAGCCAGAGGCAAAGAAACCACCAAATGGACCAATTATTGAACTGAACAGACTTAAGGATATTGAATGCCAAACGAAGGGTATCACACGAATCGATTTTCCAATGCCAAACTTTAAGGAAATGAAAAAAAACATATATTATAAAAAATGTAATGATTTTATTGGCCGGGGGTATTTTTATATGCTCCATCAAGTATTCGTTAAATTAGATTCAGCACTTTTTTAAATTGTGTATTAAGTAAAACAGATAAATTCACTTACCACACTCAAACTATATTCCTGGGGAGTAAACAAATAGCTTGGCTCACAACTCATCGACATGCTGCCCAATTCTTCGGAATAGACAATGGGGCAAACGAAGTACTGATAATGACACAAAATGTATGAGAATATTATGCCGAAAATAACAGTTGCAAAGCCACCACCAATAAAGCCCTCCCATGTCTTTTTCGGACTCAGCTTAATCAGTGGCGTCTTGCCGAAGAAGAAACCGAACATATAGGCCATAACATCGTTGCACACAATCATCGATACGGGTACAATAAACCAAATTAAGCCTGAAAAAATATATAGAGAAAAAGAAACGGTTATCGGTTTAAATAAAAAACAAGTAAAGAGGTGTCAGCCGGTGTTGTTAACTATGGTTTGCGGAGCTCTACGGACTTACTACATACTGGTTTAATTGTTCGCTTTATATAAGTATAATTTTTTACCAAATACATGACCATCTGTGGAGAGGTACCAGAAGTGGTTGCTCTATAAAAAAATAGGTTTGAATATTTGTGGGAAAGGTACCAGAAGGAGTGGATCGATGGATCCCATTTTCGGACTTGATTTAACCAAGGTAAAAATATTATGATATGCAAAGTTTGGATCAAATCGGTCATTCCAGTCGTTTGATGTTGAATTAAAAAAATTTCAATATATTGACACTGTATGGGGGAGGTACTAGAAGGGTCCCATCTTCGGACTTGATCTATGATTGGTAAAAATATTATGATGTGCAAAGTTTGGATCAAATCGGACATTCCATTCTATTACGGTGTGTAACGTTTGGGTCAAATCTGGCGTTGTATTCGTTTGATATTGAATTAAAAATTTTTCAATATATTGACACTGTATGGGGAGGTACTAGAGTGGACCGATGGGTCCCATCTTCGGACTTGATCTAGAATTGTTAAAAATATTACGGTGTGTAACGTTTGGGTCAAATCTGGCATTGTATTCGTTTATTATTGAATTAAAATATGTTCAATATTTTGACACTTTGTTGGGGAGGTATCAGAAGGTGTGGACCCACGAGTTCCATCTTCATACATGATCCAGATTTGGTAAATGTATTACGAGGATTAACATTTCGACATTACATTCGCTAGGTATTGAATTAACAAATTTTGTAAATATTGTCACTTTATGCGGGAGGTTCTAGAACGAGAGGACCGATGGAACCAAACAACAAATGAACCGTCAAAAAAGTCAGTAAAAGTGCCTAAAACTTGGGTTTCATCATTTAACTCCTCTGTCAAGGTGTGAAAGCGTCTGTGAGACACCACAAATTTCTACAAAATTTAATACGATTCTCAATATGGAATATGAAGGTAAAGTAAAGGTTAATATAAAGAAGAGAAATCGTTTGCGGAAACAAGATGTTTGCTGATCTTATAAAACCCGTAAATGGCTTAGCTTAGATATATATATATATATAGGGGAGAGGGGGGCACCTTTGAACAGCGCTCATAAAATCTTGGTTTAAAATTTTTTTGACCCGCAACCACATTTTTGTATATCGCAATCTTGTTCTCTATCTGCGTAAACCACGTTGGCTTGCGTTTTCAGTTGTCGACAAATTGTGCATGGGTGACCATGTTTTCGCAGTGTCATTGTAAACTTTTATTCATTTGGTTGTAAGGGGGCAGGAAGAATTCTGTGATAGTTTTCTTTCGTCAAACAAAGTTTTTGCATTCCAACAATCATTTTAAACATAACTAATCTAATTTCTTTCATATATATTTATTACAAAAAAAGTTATTATAAATTTCCGAAAAATTCCATGGGTGGAACAAGTCCATTAAACTCGAGTAAAAAACGGAGTTTTAAACATTTGGCTTCGATTTCTCAAAGTTTCAAATGGCCTAATAAGATTACGAAACTAACTGTATTTTTTACCATATTAATTTTTGTTTTTAAGTCATTTTATGTTTAAAAAATTTTAATCTAAATTTTTCAAATTTTGGACAAGTCCATTAAACTCGAGTAAAAAACGGAGTTTTAAACATTTGGCTTCGATTTCTCAAAGTTTCAAATGGCCTAATAAGATTACGAAACTAACTGTATTTTTTACCATATTAATTTTTGTTTTTAAGTCATTTTATGTTTAAAAAATTTTAATCTAAATTTTTCAAATTTTGGACATTTTTTATATATTTTTTTAATGAATAAATGCATTTCTGATATGTATGAATAAAATACATACATATTTGAACATAAACACTGTAAAAAACCATTTCTTTTAAAAATGTCAACCCCCTGGGGGCAGTTTTGAACACTTTGACTTCGTCCATTAAAACAGTAATAAGCTTAAAGTATGTCATATGTATATTCATTTTAAAGGTTACATATGTACCTATTAGTTAAAATTTATAAGAAACCAAAAATTATAAAATAAAAAATTTTATAAAGCTTGAAAGAAAAAAGTGTTCAAAGGTGCCTTCTCTCCCCTATATATATATATGCCTTCAAAAACTCCTTCCTCCTCACTCTCCATACAAGGATCATAAAAAATATTTTATCTACTAAACAAACAAGCTTATCGCGAAAACTATAACAATATTATACATTTACAACTTACCTTCAAAGATATTTTGTATAATCAAATAACTTTGGGTGACAACAATCAGCAATGAAACGTGAGTCCAGGCGAACAAACTGAATTGTTTCATATAGTATTTCTTGACCAGCGACAGAACAAACCAGACGAATCCAATGCAGTATAAGGCAAAGGAGAGGAAACGATGATAGGTGACCATAAATTTCAAATATTCCTGCAAATAAAAAAATGAGCGTTAGGGGAGCATGAAACATAATATAATTTAATTGATGACATTTTATAGCAAAAACATACCACTCGATTAATGGCCACACCGAAATAATCCACTAGATTTTCACCATAGAAAAAGTAATTGGAAGTCAATAGGAAATACCATGATAAGCTACGGAACCATGGTAGGCCATGTATACGATAGACTTGATAGCCAATCGAAATGATTTCTTGGAAACATTTCACTTGCACCAATAGGGTCTGTAAAGTAGAGAACGAGGTAGAGTTGTATTTTTTCAATTTATTTACTGTTTAGTTTGCATTTGTTCTATTTTTACAACTTACCGTAATCATTAACGCCAATGGTCCGCCATAAATGATTAGACAGAAACCACAAATCATAATCCAAGTGAATATGCCACGAATAACCCAATTTTTCCATCTATAAAAAAAAATTATTATTATTTTTTTATTTGCTAAAACAAAACAATGTTAGTGTCTGCGGGTTTCATTCTTACCTATCTGGCAAATCCTTTAATGCCGAGTCAAGAATTTCTGGCGTTTTATCCGTACCTTGTGGTAGATTTTTCGACAATTCTTCCACAAATTTCTCTTCGGGTAATTTTTCATCTTCCGATTCAATCTGAAAATAAAACCACAACAAATTAGGTTTTGTTTCTTGCGTGTAAAAAAAAGTAAAATATAGAAATCATATAGATGTTCAAATAAAGATCCGTGCAGAAGATCTTCTATGATTGATGAATAATATCAATTAATTAGATCGAGAGAACAATTAATTAAATTCAGTAAGAACAGAAGTAAAGTCGGACTGGTCCGACTATATGATACATTTCATTATATTGGAGTACATTATACATGTGCATCCTAACAGATGTCACCTTTTCGAAGGAACATTAACATTAAATTGAACGAACATAAAAAATTCGCAACAATATTAGGAGTTTGGTGCACCATTTACCTACAATCGGAGGGAAATATATATGAAACTAATATCTAAATCAGAATCGATTTCAACAAAACTTGACACACTTAAGGCTATTCTAACTTAAGTACATTGTACACAATTGTGTGCCAATTGGACAATTGCACAAAATCGGAACTAATCTAAGCTATACAAATTTGAACCGATTTTCACGAAACTTAGCTCACATTATTCTAGTCTTAATTTAGTACACTATGCAAAATTTTGTGCAAATCGAAAGATATATATGGGCTTTGGGGTACAATTTACATAAAATCGGAAGAAAATATACATGGGAGCTATATGTAAATCTGAACCGATTTTCACGAAACTTAGCACACATTATTCCAGGCTCAATTCAGCACACTATGCAAAATTTCGTGCAAATCAAAAGAAATATAGGGGCTTTGCGGCATAATTTATATAAAATCGGAATAAAATATATATGGGAGCTATATCAAAATCTAAACCGATTTTCACGAAACTCAGCACAAATCATTCCAGACTCAATTGAGTACGCTATGCAAATCGGAAGAAAACATATATGGGAGCTATATCTAAATCTGATTCGATTTTCACGAAACTCAGCACCACACATTATTCCAGACTCATTTTAGTATTCTATGCCAAATTTCGTGCAAATCGAAAGGAATATAGGGAATTTTGGGGCAAAATTTATATAAAATCGAAAGAAAAAAATATATTTATATTGGAGCTATATCAATCCGAACCGATATTCATGAAACTCAGCACACATCATTACAGACTCAGTTTAGTACCTATGCTAAATTTCGTGCAAATCGAAAGAAATGTAACTGCTTTGGAGCACAATTTACATAAAATCGGACGAATATATATATATATATATATATGGGAGCTATATCGAAATCTAAACCGATTTTCACGAAACTCAGCACACATCATTTTATACTCAATTGAGTACGTTATGTCAAATGTATATAGGAGCAATATCTAAATCTGGACCGATTTTCACCAATTTCAAACCTATGCACAAAGGAATAATAGCCTACCCTGTACCACAGTGTGGTGAAGCGTATAAAATGTCAAAGCCAAAAAATATTAAAATTTGATTCGAAATACCTTCAATAGGTCGGAACCTTCATATGGCGGCTATTGAAAATAATCTTGTTGAATCCCCTGAGAAAACAAAATACCAAATTTCTGACACTCAAACTAGAAAAATTGGCTAGAATTTTCACAATAACCATTTTAAACCAAACATCCTAGGTGTATTAAAAATGTACGGGCATGTTCTGGCATTCACTTCAACGGCAGAAGTGTATCGAACACACGCCGAGGTGTTCTGTAACACACTTTACACCCATTTGAGGTGTATTCTTTACACTTACATTTCCATAGTGTTTTTTCATATAAAAGAAAATCTTTTTTGAAATAAAAAACGCACATTATGATAGATTGATTTGTTATTATTGCGTATAATTTGTTTAAAATCACAAAATGAACATGAAACACCATTAACAACAAATTTTAAATAGATACTAAGGTTTGTCTTAAATTTTCTTCAATTGAATTTCTTGCTTGACACAAACAACTGATTTGAAGTAAGGCCGAAAAAGATAGGGTTACCAAATGTTCCCCTTAAATCAATCAAGAAATTAATGTTATTACAGAGGTTTCATACATATATTTTATGTTGCGAATAAAAAAATATTAAAAAATAATAATAAAATTGTCGTTAAAATTAACGAAATTACTAAAAAATTACAGAAACAATGTTAAAAAGGAATACAGTTTATATTGAATGGCAACACTATTTCTGCAAAGTACCATGTCGACGTTTATTTTTGTCGCAGTTCAAAATTTCAATTCACGTGAGAAGCAGAACAGGAGGTAGCTTCTGAGGTGAAGTGTATGTGTAAAGTGAAAAGAACACGCCGTGAGTTCCAGAACATACCCGATATACTAAGGTTTGTCTTGAATTTTCTTCAACTGAATTTCTTGTTTGACACAAACAGCTGATTTGAAGTAAGGCCGAAGAAGATAGGGTTACCAAATGTTCCCTTTAAATCAATCAACACATTAATGATATTACAGAGTTTTTATTACATATATTTTATGTTGCGAATAATAAAATATTAAAAAATAATAATAAAATTATCGTTAGAATTAACGAAATTACTAAAAAATTACAGAAACAATGTTAAAAACGAATACAGTTTATATTGTATGGCAACACTACTTCTGCAAAGTACCATGTCGACGTTTATTTTTGTCGCAGTTCGAAAATTTCAATTCACGTGAGATGCAGAACAGGAGGTAACTTCTGAGGTGAAGTGTATGTGTGAAGTGAAAAGAACACACCGTGAGTTCCAGAACATACCCGGTATGTACAAAATTTCAGAACTCTATCGTGAGTTTAAAAGAGAGACGGTCGTTGGCCTCCGATTACTATTTCAAGGTGTTGCAAACGGAATGATAATTTTAATATACACTCCAAATTATAGTATATAAATATATTACCCTGGACTAGTTATATCTGCATTTTGATGTTTATCGGTCATACTACTACTTCCAAATGCTTATTAATAAAAAAATAGGAAAATAATCAAAGAAGATACTTTGCTAAAACGGAACTAGGGCAGACATAGAAACATATATTTCTGTTTAAATAAAAATTAATATAGGCAGACATGCAATGAGGAAAAACAATTTATTTTTGTGCGTTTGCCTCCTCTTATCGCCATAGGAGAAACCATATAAGTGTGAAAAGACAATAAACATTTCTTGAGATATTGTTTTGGTTTTTATGTTTTTTTTTTTTTTTTTTTTTGTTTAAATCACATCATCGTTTCTGGCCACCCCAGCAAGCAAATCAAATAAGCAAAATTGAACACCAACAAAAAACAAAGTGCTAAGTATTCAATGCCATGTAAATGGCATACACAATCAGACACACGCACACTCATGGGCCCAACACATAGATAGGAAGGCAGGCAGGCGTCTATATTGCAAACCGGCAAAAGAAATTAAAGAACCGGCATTTCAACTAACTAAATAATAATAACAACAACATCAATAAAACATGTGGTTCTTATCAACAAAATTTTGCCATACGAATGAATCGCGAATTGAAATATATTTGTTGTGTTTTTTAGTATTTCATTATTCTTTTTTTCTTAAATTTTATTTGTGGTAGCTGGGTTCCCCTAGGGGAAAAAATAAGAACAAAATACTGGATTCCCGAAAAATGCGGTGTCTTAAAATGGTCGTTATTTTAAATAATTTTAACTTTACTATCTAAAATTGTATTTTTTTTTACTTCTATTTGGTATCGAAATTTTCTAACCATCGAGGCCATTACAGAAATTTATATAGTGGCTAGAAAGAGGACCAATATTTATTTTTTTTGGTATTAAGATATGTTTCACAACGAGAACCCAAAATATCCAATTAGAGCCAATTCGGTTGATAAACAAGGCCAAAGTTTCCTTAAATACCGAATAATAGGGGGTAACGTAACATAGGCCTATCCCGAAACTCAATGTTGGCCTTTTTATACCCTTATCCACACTGTGGCACAGGGTATTATGTCTTTGTGCATATGTTTGTAACAGGCAAAAGGAAACGAGATAGACCCATAGTTCATAGTTAATATAATTATTTAATTAATTTAAATAGAGAAAATTTATCTATCTATCTATTACCTATTATCTATATTTTGAGATTTTATATAAATTTTATACTAAAGACCCAAATTGGCACACAATTTTGTACAGTGTACTGAAGTTAACATAAATTATTCGCTGTCAAGTTTCCTTGAAATCGGTTCAGATTTAGATGTAGGCCCCATATATATTTTCATCCGGTAAATGGTACATGAATGGTATACTTAAATCCTAATGTTTGTCCGATTGAAACGAAATTTTTCACAACTTATCAAGTTGAGACTAGAATGACATTATTTTGTTTTGTTGAAATTGGTGCAGATGCAGACATAGCGCCATAGATATTTCGAACGGGTGATTGATATCAAATTGTGAACAGTACAGTATCGTTTAAATCTGCAAATCGTAATATCTTCTGCAAACCTACATTGAATCCGAAGTAAGATATCTTCCGCTCAACTCCTTCTAGTACCACCCACACAAATAAAGGTGTACAAATTATGAAAAATGTTAAATCTAATATAAAGCTAATTGAGTACCGGATTTAATCCAACCTTCGCACAAATAATAATATATTTACCAAACGTAGATCAAATTGCAAGATGGAGCCCATCGTTTCGCTCCCTTTCACATGGGTTTAAAATATTGTAAATAACGTATCAGATTCGATACAAACTATGTTCATTGTAATATTTTTACCAAACCTAGATCGAGTTCCAAAATCGGTACACCAATCCTTCTACCTTCTCCTCGCCCACGAATTGTCAACATTTTTAATAAAAACTGAAAATTTTTTATGAAGAATATTAAGTATCCGATTGGTGCAATTTTTTGCACTCCGCAATAGAACTGGTAAAAACTGTACAAGCGTTGGCCAATTACATACATATCGATATGGCCACCACAAAAGCCAAGGTGGTGATGACACCACCATTGGTTTCGTTTGTTTTGTGACATATCTTCTGGTTTCAATGGGACACCACTAAATCCAATTAGAAAATGGATGATAAGTGTTAAGTGCTGTTAGAAAGTAGAAGAAGAATAAGAAAGGAAATAGACAGCCATAGTTATAATGACCTTCATACAATAACAAAATACAATTACGATATTATGAAATATGGAAAAATATACAAGGGCATACATGCATCCATATACATATATCATTGTCATGTTTATTCTACAAACAATCATTAAATGTTATGAGACGACTATATTTCTCATATGTTTATTCCTTGACACTGGCGATATATTGTTTTCCATTCGTTGTTTTTCTCGTGCTTTATTGATTCATCATAAATGTACACTATACATGGAGATTATACCATATTCGTATATAGGGAAACAGTAGCTTTGTCGGTCAGAAGTAAAACACGAGTTTTTGAAAAAATATATCAACTAGAACTGAAATATTATATGGAAGACAATGAAGTGTATGATTCCAGATGGCGTGTAGGTTATATAAAAAATATTATCATGTGCAATGTTTGGAGCAATTAACTTTCTCAATGCGATGACAATTTTTATTTTAATTTTTGTTATTCCTGAAAGGATTTTATTCTTTGAAAGATAATCCCCACTCGAAATTGATATAGGCTTAGTAAAAATATTGCGTTGTTCAAAGACTAGATAAACCGCTCCAGGAAGATCTCAACAATCGACTGCTAATGTTGTGGTTTTGTGTATCCGGAACTCACTTGGGGTAATTTTAATTGATTACCTTAATTTTTTTTGGGATTTTAAAAAATAACAAATAAAGCCTTTGTTAAGTTCGAACATTTTATGGGTGGACATTTGAAATGCATATAATAGACTCTTATAGCTAATTTTTTGGTTTGGCACTCAATTAGGGACAATTCAAGTAAAAAAGCGTCAGACAAAAAAAGTAAAAAAAGCATCAGTCAGTGTAGCCGACAAACACATACCCTTAGCATATGGTTTGCGAAGTTCTGCGGAGTAAAAAACAGGTTGTATTATTCGCTTTGTATAAGGTATATGTTTTTATCAAAGAGTTGCAGATGTACCAGAATTTGAAAAATGTGGATCAACTCTGATCCATTCCACTATCTTTATAATGGATTAAAAAAATTCAAAATGTTTTTGGGGAAGGTACAAAAAGAAGGGCAAAAAAAAATCTAAAACATCGAATACTAGGGATACAGTTATTTGTTTGCTCCCTTAAAAAAGGTTTGGCGATATACACTGGTAGCCAAAAAAAGCTAAAATTGCAAGGTTAATAAATGCCGCATAACTTTTTCAAAAATAAAGATATTGTGTTGGTTTTTTCAGTTTTAAATAAGGTATTTTATACATATACGTGGACGATCTATGGTAACCGGCCTGCATGCCCAGAATCTATTAAGTAATTTCTTTAAACGAATCGGAAAACCAAATGCCCATACTAATTAGAATCTGACTCAGGGGAGAAATATTATTGCACTCGGATGAATTAAAGTTAAATATTAAAGACTCTGGCATGAAAAAAAAATAATTTTAAGAATGTCCTGGGTACTGGGAAGCATGGAGGAGGATTAATAATTATATTGGGTTGTTGTTATAGAGTTCGATTTACGAGATTTATGAAGTAATGGATCGGACTGTTTATATAAATGTGTTCGAAAACGTTATGGTTCCCTTTGCTCAAGAAAATATACCGCTTGTTTGGATGTTTCAGCTTGACAATAACCTCCAAACATACACCAAAACATGTCAAGTATTTATTGCGGAAGTAAACAATTAGGGTTTTAATTTAAATCTTTGGAAGACCTGCCAAAAACACTTTTCTAATTAAAAAGAGATTTGGTCGCGCATCGGTAGTTACCATCTGTCCATAGGAGAAAGTCTTAAATCCCCAGCCGAAGGCCGGCTACCCACAAACACTCATACTGGTTTTCAAAATTTAAGAAGGGTCCCGCGGAATTTTGGAGACCCGTATATCAGAATGTGTGAACTTATTTTATAAGAATGCCTATATTTTTTTTTTTTTTTTTTTTTGTAATCAGGGCTTAAAGCGCATTAAATTGATACATACATTGCATTAGTAAGAAGAAAAGCATACCATTGTAATGAGGGCCCAAGGACTACATGACTACATAAAAGTTTCAAAACGATCCACGAGGGGGCTTTAAACTAGAAAAATTTTCATTTTATGTAAGGAATATAAATTTTAAGCTACCCCAAATTTGAAACATGTTCCTGTGGTTCCCTCGGAAGTGTAGTCTTTATTCCAATATTTACATGAAATCGGAATAAGGTATGGATACGGAATCCTATTTCAATTTTTTTTTTGCACAAATGATTAAATTTGATATTATTTTTTGTTTATATGAACCATCACCTATTCTTTTCTATTTTCTGCATGTGACGTCGTATTGCCTTACAATTGGATTTAAATTATTTGTATGTATATATATGTATGTAGTTGTATGTGCATTTGAATTCTTTCATGTGTATCTGCTATAAACAACAACAACACAATGACAGTACATCTATTTCCATATAGTCAAGCAATCAGCACCACCCCCAAACATTAGTAAAATCGAATTGACATTTCTTTGGAAAACTACAACAAAAACAATAACAACAACATAAACTGTAACCACTGTTTGTTATGCAAAATATCGATATAGTACATACATATGTACATACGTATATGTATATTATAATCCAATTGATTTTAATTTTTTGTACACCAAGAAATTTGATGATGTTGATCCAGTAAAGGGATAATATAGCGGACCTTAGCATAATTCTCAAGAACTTACATGATCTGAAGATTCAGCTGCCGATGAATTTCGTTTATCGGCTTCGGATGTTCCAGCACTGGCTCCCAAAGAATTATTCGCTGCATCTTCTTCTCCAGCAGAAGCAGCAGTGTCATCGACTTTTCGACGTCGAACTTCGGCCATTTTTTAATGAATTGCTAATTAAACGTATCGATGGATTCAATTGGCTTCTAACTTATTTTTATCCGTTTTCAGCTTTTGTATCGCAAAGAAATAATCGAAAATCTTTCTTTTAATTTTAAAAATGTTTTTTTTTGTTCTTTCTCTCGTTCGGTATGTATGTAAGTGTATGTATGCCCACGAATACGTCAATTAAATTTGTATACAATTTTGTGTATTATTTTCTGTTGATTTCTTATGGAGTGGAGTTGTCATTTTCTGCCGTCTGCGCCGCCTCCGATTTTCACACATACGATGGGTTCGGTGGTTGCAAAGTCAAAACAAAAACAAAATCTTCTTCGATACAGGTTGTTTTTCTATGTTTATTTTCCTCCAAACTTTTTGTTCTTG